TTCACTATTGGACTAACTGTTGGATAAACTTTGTTAACACTAGGCACTAAAGTATCCATCAAGCATAAAATTTTTACTGTATAGAGATTTTATTTTTGTGTATTATAATCCTGTTGAGAATACAGCCTGACTTTCTATTCAGAACACTGTGGAAAAGCTTTTCCTATTACAAGGTAAATTGTAAGAAAATGACATTTCATACCCTTTTACTTGAAGATAATGTTTTATATTTGATTTGGAAATCTTGTCATACACCTATAAGAAACATAAAGTCTATACAGAATATCCATCAATTAACAAAACATTTGCTTTGCTTTTTGCTTCTTTTTGAAAAATAATCAAATCCATCGAAATTTGTGTTGATAAGGCTGGATTATAGCTAGGGAAAACATTTTTTGAGTCACATAGGACTATATCTAATAAAGTAATTATTTATATAGTTTTTTAAATTTTTGGTTGCATACTCCCTGGAATGGAATCCAGAGCTATGTTAAATGTAGGGATCCTTTGTGTGCTTCACAATCCTGGTCGTCAAGGAATCCTACTATCTTGAGAGAGGACAAAAGAAAACATAAAAAAACCGTAACTGCAAATATAGTAAGTCACTGAAATTTACTGCTTATCAGCTGTTGAAAGCTACCTCCTAGAAGGGAAACTACTTATACAGAAAAGAGATTCATCCCACATTTCCCTTAACCTGGGAGAACATACTAGTTATCCAGATGAAAATAAAAGCACTGGATTTTTTTCTCCATGGTGGCATGGTTTCAAAGAATTTATGTTCTGTGGGAATATACAGGATGGAGAAAAACATGTCTGTGCCCAAAGAATTTTGGAGATTATACCAGAAAGGGAAAGTCAGGTATCTTCAAGGAAGAGTTTAAGTGTTTTTCACTAAATAGACATAAAATTGCACTAACAACCCTTTGAAGGGGGTTTTGTGCTATGTGATATTTAGTTTGTGTAAATTATACCATTAAGCCAATCATTGTAAATTTTCACTGGGGCTTTTGATTAAGTTGGTTCAGTTTAGTTTTTAGTAAAAAAACCCAGAAGTATGTTTTCAACTTAAGTGCTTGACTTGTAAAGTGAGCTTAGATAAACAAAGGAAATTCAGCCAATATGAACTACTCAGGAATTTGGGGAGATACCTGAAATTGAAATTAAATTTCTTTAAAAACCCAAAACTTTATATCCCAGCAAGGATACTACTTTCAGAAATAATGTTAGAATGAAATGGATAATTACTTGAAGTAGTATTTTCAACATACCTTCAACCAATAGAAAAGAACAGAAAGGAATAAAAAAATACTGATCAGCAGATGACATCTTTTTTGAGAACGTGGAATAGCAATTAAAACTGCTTAAACTGAAGCTGTATTAGAACTTGCAAAGAATATAACTTTATAACCTTGGCTGTCATAGAATTGGAAGATGAATGAGATTCAGGTGAATAATATACAAGTTTATGCACTTTGAGATTGCTGGCAAGAATTTCTCCTATCAGGTGGTGACTCATCAATTGGATGCAGTAAAGAGGTTAAGTAATGGAGTACTTTAATTGATCACAAGATTTCTGTGCATTGACTGTGTGATGTAGCTCTGAAAAGACTAATTCTGCTCTGAACAGGGTGAGTATTTCCAGTATATGCAGATGAATGCCATTGCTCTGGTAGTTTTAATTTGAAATAATATGGATAGTCATAAATAATAATTTTTAAAAAAGTTAATTTGGGCTAGAAGAGACACAAAGAAAAATAAAAAGGTCATAAGAATTGGTTAGAGCCTGCCTTGTGGGAAAACAGAATGGCTTTGCTTACTCAGTTCAGCAAAACAAATGCTGTGAAAAGCTTTTCTTGATAGGTCATCACGGAAGAAATAAATTATTATTGCAGACGTATATAACTTAGGAAATATATACCAAAAAAAAGAAAAAAACTCACCCAAAATTAATTGACCAATAAGAAATTTAGTTGATGAAAAGTTGTAGTTGTACTACCAGGGAGATAATTGGAAAATCTTCCCAAGAAAAATATTGGAGAAAAAAAAACACCAATTAAGTTTCCTGAAGCTGATGGTGGCACTTTTATTTTTAATTTTATGCGCTTTGTGAAAAGAAGATTGTACTTGGTAATTTGCTACCTCATGACTCAGTCTCTGTGTTCTTAGTCCTGATTTCCTTCCCAATTAGAGGCATTGCCTTGTCAGAGCTTAATATGTATATGAAGATAATGTTTCCTAAGCAGTGTAAAAATATATTTTATATCCTTCAGAGGGAATATAAAGGAATTAAGTTTTTTTTTCAATGTTGCTGTCATTCAAATGTTCTGAAGAGCTCTGCACAATAATTTCTATTTGGTGAAGTTTAATCTGTCATAGATTAAATTTCAGCGTCATCCTGAAGCTCATCCCCTGTTTTATCATTGTCTAAATTACATTTTTGTAAATATATTTTTATTACAGCATTATATGAAGCAGTTTGAAATTAATTTATTTTCTAGAATTATCAGTT